CACACAACACTAAAACAAGCTCGCAATGTCCTGTATTTATTTGGTCCCTAACCAATCCCTAGTCAGCTCTCCTCTTCCTACTTGTGGGTTTGAATGTCCACCTAGGGGTCCTATTGGTGTTACTAGGATCCTTGGTCCTTTTGTTATTCAGGACCAAGCTCTGACTAAGGCGCTGACTATGTAGTGACTCCCTGCGGACACAACACTGGGTAAGTGCTAGAATGTTGCCCCAGCGCAATGCCAGCGCTTCCGGGTCGCACTCGAAGTGACCTCTTCATGCAGCAGCGACGAACACTGTCCCCCACTCCACATGGGTGAGTACCCGCATTGCCCCATCTCCCACCAGTTTCCAGTTCATGCCTGGCAATCCTGTTTATAACTGGAAAATAATCTCTGCCACACTTTACGATGTTATTTTAATTTATTTTTCGTATTTGTATCCCGCCCATCCCATGAGCGGGCTCAGGGCAGGTCACATTACCTCAAATAATACAATAAGGTTTAAAACACAATAAAACATTACATTATAAACATTTACAATCAGTAGTTATAGCTGCTGGTGCAAATGCCGACCCATTAATACTGATTGTTATGGCGGGTTGCTGGCAGATGGGTGGCCAGCAGGTAGGAGACAGCAGGGGTCATTTCCTGCAGGAGCGCAGAGGAGTGGAGCTCTGGCAGTAAAGAGCCCAGGGGGCGGGCACATGCAACAAGCCCCGCCCCCTGCTCCCAGCAGCCCTCAGTCAGAGCAAGAAGCAGCCAGGTAAGTTCCAGAGCTCCCCCCCGGCCCCCTGGTCCAAAACAGTCCAGTGGCACCTTTAAGACCAAGTTTTATTCAGGTACAAGCTCTCCCTCCTCTGGAAGGACAGATCCCCCCCAATAGCTAGCAATCCAAAACAGTCCAGTGGAGCCTGAGCGGTGGGTGTTGCCTTCTGACACGCTTCCGGTGATGTCAGGGGGTGTGGCATATGCAAATAGGCTATGCTAATGAGTTATGCTAATGAGCTCCTGCACCTCTTTCTACGAAATGACCCCTGGGAGACAGGAACCTCGGTGGGGGGGGGGGAGGGCCACACGGGGATGCCCGCTGCCTCAGCCAAAAACCTGGTGGAACGGCTCCGTCTTGCAGGCCCTACGGGACTAAGATCCCGCAGGGCCCTGATCTCGATGGGGAGCACGTTTCACCAGTCATTAGACTGTATATCACTGTTGGGGAAAGAAGCAGAGATAAGGCAGTGGGCGTGAACCGTAATGACACAGAGGCCGTGGCCATTTCAGCGTGGCTCATCGGCCTCGGGTTCAATGCAGTCAGGATGGGTTTTTTTCCCCCCTGCTTCCCCACAACATCGCACTGCATTCATGTACCTCTTCCCCTGGGTTTTCTCCAAACTTTTCCAGACCTCTGAGGTTTTGGAAAAGCTTGCAAAAAAGCCTGGATGGCTGCTGAGTGGGAGAATGTTAGGATTTCCCCTTACGCGTGGCAGCCATTTTTCCTGACCCAGTCCCCATGGTAGCCATTTCCTCTTTTGCCCTGACACAGGAGGCTTTTATTTTTAGAAATTGTCTGTTTGGTGTCGTGGTTAAGAGCACAGACTCTAATCTGGGAGAAATGGGTTTGATTCCCCACTCTTCCACTAACAGCTGCTGGTGTGACCTTGGGTCGGTTATGAGTTCTCTCAGAGCTGTTCTCTCAAGAGCAGTCCTCGAAAGAGCTCTCTCAGGCTCACCTGCCTCACAGGGTGTCTGTTGTGGGGACGGGAAGGGGAAGGAGATTGTAAGCCGCTTTGAGACGCCAATGAAGTGCGGGGTATAAATCCAATCTCCTCCTCCTCATTTTTTTTTAAGTACACTTTATTAAATGTTTAGTGTATACAGGGATAGGGAAGGGAGAGAAAACAAAAGTAATGTCTTTTGCATATAAATCTTCTCTACTTGTTTCACATTACAAAAGGATAGACTGAAATTTTAAAAGTTCATAAAGGCTTCTTCATATTATATTGTTAAAAAGTTCATGTCTTTATATTTCTTTTCTATCCAATCGTAAAAAGGAGTCCATAATCCGACGAAATCTTCTTCCATTTGCCCTTTTAGCATCAAAGTCAATTTATCAATTTCCACACTTTCCATAATCTTCACTATTAGGTCTTGTTCAGAAGGTATTGTTGGAAGTTTCCAAAAGGTTGCAAATAAAATTCTAGCTACTGTTACTACATGAATTATAAAATATCTTTGGTTTTTGTCCAAATCATCTGGCATGCAGTTCAGTAAAAACAATTCTGGTCAAAAGAGTAATGAAGTCTGCAAAACTGTCTGTATAAATGTATGTACCATAACCCAGAACTTGTGTACAATTTCACATGTCCACCACCACATATGGTAAAATGTACCCACGTGTTTTTTATATTTCCAGCCACTATTTGGCATATTTTTGTACATTTTAGCTAATCTATCTGGTGTTAAATACCATCTATAAAACATCTTATACAAATTCTCTTTAAATGCAACCAATTAAGTTATTTTCACATTCACTTTCCACAGTTTACTCCACTATGCAAGATCAATATTACAACCTAAATAACCTCCTCGTCCTTATTGATATATCGTAACAACAGGTGTAACAGGATCTCTGAATTCTCAGCTTTAATTTTTTTAAAAAAATCAGTCTCTAGTCCTTTCCCAGGTGAGAGATATAAGGAAAAGGGCACATTTATGCAACGGAATGGGACAGAGACTTACTTAAAAACAAACAAACTGGGAATTCACAGAACCTGCTGTACCTATTGTTACAACAGTATATCAATATAACAATACGAAACTAAGAATTAAAAGAAACTGCCAAGCTCCATGGCCCAGGGCCGGGCACTGCTGGGGCACTGGGGCAGGAAAACTGGAGGGATACCTGAATTGTAGAAACCTAGTCACTGATGAGCTTTCTCTGCAGCCGCACCAGCAACAAGGAGACCACAAAACCTGCCAGCATCGGTAGGGCCTGGGGCACAGGTCCTTGCGCAGCGGTCCCCTCCCCTTCAGGGTGCAGAGATCCTTGCAGATTGGTCAGGGACCGTAGGGGGCAGACCCCCACGCCTGCTTACTGCTGACTCGCTCTTCAAACATGCTGTCCTCCACCGGACCTATGCAAGTCTGGGATTCGGTAGACTCCAACGAAGCCTTTTGTACCGCTCTTCGCCAGATAACCCTGTCACGGATTTTGGTTCATTCAAAATGAAGTTTTGACTCAAAAAGTCTGGTTCGGGCTTCTGCGGCCTGCTTTGGGGTATTTTCTCAGAGACTCAGACTGCTTTGCTGAGAAAGAAACACACTGACCTTGCAGGGGAGATAAGACAGCTGTGTTAGAAGTCTATCCCCTGGGACTGTCTCCCAATTAACATTCCATCTGATTCAGCTCCTGTGGGAAACCCGTTTGGGCTGGCTGCAGACGGATCCATCTCTGTACTCATGCGGTCAGAGGTACTCTGTACTCATTAGGTCATCTGGTCAGCGATTGGCTCATTCATTTGGCTATAGGTAATTGCTGAGGGCCCCGATTGGTGCAAAGGCCTAGCAACACTTGGGGCCCTTAGCAATAAAGGAATCATCCTCAGACCTGTTCTTCAGCCCGGATGGTGCCTACCTGTTATCAAGAGAGCCAGTTTGGTGTAGTGGTTAAGTGCGTGGACTCTAATCTGGGAGAACCGGGTTTGATTCCCCACTCCTCCACTTGCACCTGGCTGGATGACCTTGGGTCAGTCACAAGCTCTGGCACAGCTGTCCTTTAAAAAGAGCAGTTTCTGCCAGAGCTCTCAGCCCCACCTACCTTACAGGGTGTCTGTTGTGGGGAGGGGAAGGGAAAGGAGTTCATAAACCGCTCTGAGAGTCCAAGTGAAGGGCGGGGTATAAATCCAATCTCTTCTTCTTCTTCTTCAAGACATGTTGGCACAGTCTGGCTCTTTTTGGCCATCTTGGACTTATAGGCTTGCTGAAGTCAAACAGCACACTGGCTTGGCTGACTCTGGAGACAATTGCTTTTGAACCCGCAACTATGAATGGGCAACATCTTGTAACCTGCGAATGTCTTACGGTGTTTTCGTTAGCTCCTGAATTTCTAGTTTTATCATCTTTTCCCTCACAGTAACTGTTCTTGTTTAACGTATTATTTGCACCTTAATAAAATATATATCTTAAATATTAATTCTGGCCGTAGAACAAACTTAAGAGTCCAGGGGCACTTTGAAGACCAACAAAGGTTTATTCAAGGTATGAGCTTTCCTGTGTGAAGCACACTTTTTCAAATACAATGGAACTTAAGATAGGTGAAAACAGAATGAAATAACAAGCTAAGGTTATAAGGTCAACAGTTTAAAGCAATACATATGTCAAAATAAGTCTGAGACTCTCCATTCACTCCCAGAGCGTGGAGGACACTTTACAGCATTTTTAATTTCTTTTTCTGGCCATCTGTCTTCACAGCCTGCAATTTGAATCCATTGCCTAGACTGGAAGACCACCCACCACAATACTTAACTTTTG